GGGCGTATGGGAGCATTCCAGTAAAATTACCAACGCGAGATGTCCATAACTCGAATTACTGCTAATCTCAGCATTTTTGATAATATTATCCTAATGGTTCAAAAAACACACTGCTCTCTTCGGAGGTGTTTCCAGAACCAGTCAGGACAAATCCCTCCCATTTCTCATCTCTTTGAGAGTGGAAGCATGAGGAAATATCTCGTAAACAGGAACTATTCACAATAGCTGTCTGCTGGCAAGGTTCCCAATAGCTCCTTCTTTCAAAGATTGCTTACAAGCAAACTAAAGGCTGGTTTGGCTCCATTGCATATGTTAGCACCAATTTACGATCGAAACTAATAAATTAATAGTAGGAAGAACGGCTGTTTCTCTAGCAGAGTCGAACGCTCGACGCTCTGCGCAGTGGCAGCTTCAGTGTGTATCACGTCATGCCTGCTACCCAAGCGCAGTCCGTATAAAAAATTTTCAGTAAGAAAGCGCTATTCCTGAAAACCGAATAATCGAGGAAATTTTTCTTTTTATACTTGCTATGTCTGCCTGAAAGCCAACGTTTTTGTCATATTTCAATACCTTACAAACCGAATTGATATCAAAACTCAAATAATATCAAAATCTTTTCTGAACCAAATTTTCGATAAACTTTGGTGTCTAACAGAGTAAAAAGAGACGCACAAAAATCAAGGAGGGAGAGTTTGATGCAGCTTTTCCATCGGTACAGGATTTCTTCAGTTGATTATTATACTAAAGCCGTTTCTGGTTTGCGAAAAGATGCTGCTTTATTTCACTTCTACGTTATTCCAAATATCTGCGAAAGTCTTTTGTTCCCAGGATGGAGCAGCGAAAATTCCCGCAATGGACTGGTCACCAAACGGGAAAAAACTGGCAGTTGCGAACGCCGATCGGATCGTGCTGTTATTCGACGAAACTGGAAAGCGACGCGACAAATTTGCAACAAAACCAATTGATCCCAAGGTGTGTTAGCTTTGTAAATACTAGAAACAACTTGGACTTCAATGGTAAGTTCTGCTGTTTTCCAGAATCCACCTATTTATTATCAGTAAAACTATTTGTGTTCCCTATGTAGCGCAAGGAGCGACATATATATACATATGTATGTATACATATACATATATATATGTATATATATCACATGTATATAACAGATATGACAGCTGTCATCCGATGCAAACAGTCCGAACAAAAG